GCTAAGCTTTGGAAACAGCCCAAATGCCCAAAAATAGATGACTGGATCAAGAAGATGTGGTCCATATACACTATGGAATTTTACTCAGCATTCAAAAAAGATAAATGCAATTTGTAGCAACATGGATGGCGCTGGAAGGGATCATGCTCAGCAAAATAAGCCAGAAAGAAAAAGAAAAATACCAGATGGTCTCTCTCATAGCAGGAATCTAGAAAACTTAAATAAGAGACCAGGAAAAAGAATAACTATAAGAAAGTAAAAATCAAAATCAACAAACAATTATGAACCAGAGATACTCTATGGGGGGTGGGGGGCCAGGAAAGGAGGTATTGGGGTCAAAATAAGGGGGTTGCAATTGTATGGGGAATATAAAAATAAAATTTAAATTTAAAAAAAAAGAAAAGAAAAAAAAAAGAAATACATTTGTAAGGCTATATCTACCATAGACAGTAATTCTTCTAATGGGTCTAGGCAAACTCAACTGAAAACTATCTGGAAATGATTACCGTTTTAATGTTCATAAGAACATTCATGTTACATGGGAGTAGTTAAAATAACATTAACAGGAGTTTGGAAGAAGTTGCTTCCAACCCTCATAAATGGTTTTGAGGGATTCAAGATTTCTATGCAGGAAGTAACTGCAGATGTGGTGGAAATAGCAACAGAATTAGAATTATAAGTGGAGTCTGAAGAGGTGGTTTAATTGCTACAATCTTACAATAAAACTTGAATGGATGAGGAGTTGCTCTTATGGATGAGCGAAGAATGTAGTTTTTTGAGATGGACTCTACTATTGATGAAGATGCTATGAGCATTGTTGAAATGACAACAAAGAATTTAAAATATTACCTAAATTTGGTTTGAGAGGATCCACTTCAATTTTGAAAGAAGTTCTACTGTGGGTAAAGTGCTATCAAACAACATCACATGCTACAATGAAATCTTTTGTGAAAAGCAAGTCAATCAATGTCAGGGACTTCACTGTTGACTTACTATAAGAAATTGTTACAATCACCTCTACCTTTAGCACCCTGATCAGTCAGTGACCATCAACACTGAAGCAAGAGCCTACACTGGCAAGAAGACAACTCACGAAAGCTCAGATGATGGTCAGCATTTTCAGCAGTATTTTTAATTAAGGTATGCACATAGAATTTTTTTAAAGACATAATGTGCATTTAGTAGATGACAGTAGAGTGTCAATATAACTTTTATATATGTCGTGGGAAACCAAGAAAATTGTGTGACTTGCTCTATTGTGATATTCTCATTGTTGTGGTAGTCTGGAACTAGATACACAATACCTCTGAGGTGAGCCTTTAAAGTGGAGCAGAATGGACGATGAAGGTTACTGTGGGGTGACACTGAAGCAGAACTGTGTTGAAAAGCCATCAAGGAAGCAAGAAGAGAGTCAGGAGGAAGCATGGACCTTGGGCAGCAGAGGAGAAGCTGGACTGGAGAGGGTGACAGATCACATCAGAAATGCTCAATGGCCAGAGGCAGAGGTGGCATGATGACTCTGAGGTTTCCAACTCGTCAGGGTTGAACTTTGACCCCTACAGAGATATGCTGAAGTCCTAATTCTCAATGCCAGTGAATGTGGCTAGGAACTTTGCAGGAATAATCAAGTAGATGTCATCATGGGTCCTAAGCCACTATAGCTGGTGTCCTCACAGAAGAGACACAGAGAGAAAAGCCATGTGATGACAGAGGCAGAGACTGAAGCGATGTAGCTACAAGCCAAGGAATGCCAAGGACTGTTGGTTGTCTCCAGAAGCTAGGATGAAGCAAGAAAGGGTTATCCCCTGCAGGTTTCAGGGGGAACATGGCCCTACTGATACTTGGGTTTTGGGCTTTGAGCCTCTAGAACTGTTTAATAATACATTTCTGTTATTTGAAAGCACCTGGTTTGTGCCAGTTTGTCACAGCAATCTTAGGAGTCAAATCCATAAGCTGTAACAGTGTGCAGATGGTTCTTGGCAAGGGGCAATTGGTAATGGTAAGGCTCTGTCACAGAGTCTGAACTGTGAACATTCTCAGTAACACACATATCCCCTGCACAAGAAATGAAGTCCCATATTCAGTGTCCCTCTGTCACCTAGCTGTACAAAAACAAAGTATTATTTCACTCTGGGTTTCAATTATCTACTATCCAAAAAGGCATAAACAGAAACTATTGATTTCCTACAGGTTTCAATTGTCTATTCTCCAATACAAGGCAGTTTTCAAAAGTTTACTTAGAAGGTTTCTGTGTTCAGTTTTCCCATTCTCAACATGAACACATTTTGATTTGGTTTTGAAGGTATTCTTGTTTGTATTTTAAGCTGTTATCTTTAATCTACTGTAGTAAAAACTATTCAAAAACCTACAGGAGATTTCATCTCTACAAGGCACATTTTTCAGATAGGAAATTGTTGCAGCATTGAACTGCCAGAGAGACAGCTAAAAAAAATGGGTCATGCATTCATCCCATCCTGGGACATAAGCTGCCAGGCGGTTCACTGCTCATTTTTGTCCTCTTCTCGTAAACAAGCTGCATTAACAAGTTACTTTTAAAAAGCATACTAATTTCCCCTGTGAATTACACAGGAAAGAATCCAGCATTCCCTCCAGAGAACTCAAATAGTTGTTTGTTTGCAGAGCTCAGGTGTGGTGAAATAGCTATGAGCTAGAAAATGCATGCAGGGAATGGCCAGCAGGTTCCCATCTCCCCCCAACTCCACCTTGATTTCTCACATTGGTGTGCAACTCATAGCTTGTCTAATGGGAAAAAAAAAAAAAAAGACTGGATTTTCAATTTCAATTTAATTACACAATCTATAGTGCCTGGTGAGTAGGATTTAGGGGCAAGATTAACACTCAACGGTGCTCCATTTTACATTCCTTTCTGATAAAGAACACTCTATTGATTATCAAAGTGAGTTTTCAAAAATGTTTTTCAAAAGCTGAATTCTTTTGGTGGCAGAGTGACAGAAAGAAGGATGGTGATTTCACTTCTTGGTACTTTACCAGACTTTAGATAAATTAGAGGTATAATTTGTCTCTCTGAAGTGTATGGCCTGTACATTCTCAAGAGTTCTCAAGAGTGAGGAGTACCTCTCCAATAGAAATTCCATCGGAGAATTAGAAATACCAGCTGGCATACACTGATTGAACAGTACAACTATCTGTATCTGTTCTGAGACTGTATAACTAATAAAGATCCTTCTTATGTTCAAGTCCAAAGAATTTCACTCTTATTTGAAATGGAAACCATGATGATTTTTTCCAGCATCAAATCAATGTTTAAGATTATGAGTAAATATTTGGTGTTCTATTTTGGTGTCTACATATTTTATTTGTTTAACCAAATATAAAAAGAAGGAAAATACAGGAAATGAATATTTGCCCATAAGAAGTGGCCTTAATATATTTCTTGACCAGCTGCTTAAACATGTTAACTTAATAAAGAAAATAGTTCTGTTTATAAGGAAACATATTCACTATGTGACTTAAAAAAGTAAAAAGGGTAGCAATAAGGTTTACCAGTTTACTGTTGCTCAGCCTTACCAAACCACTTGAGTACATACAAATAAATGAAAATACACTGATAAAGAAGCTAAGCTCAGAAGACAAATACACTATTTGAAACAGAGACCTGATTTTGCCATTGCACAATGACAGTGCTTTCAAATATTAAGAGGACCACTACTAGAAGTCAATATTTACAATTATATTCAAAAGTAAAATCACATCTGATCAGCATTAAATTATGCCTGTTGATTTTGCATTACTAAAATAGCCAAATAAGCTATTTTTTATCGTTTGATAAGTTACAGGGTATCTGGCACAGATTAGGTAAATCTAGAACCTGGGTGGAATGGCAATGGGCTTAAATTAGAATTTCTTTTGGAGCCTATGAGAAGACAACTTTGAAAAACATACCCTTGACTGGTATAAACATATATGTATCCCTTCTGCCTCATAAGGGTGAGTTACAACAATAAAAGACATGGAGATTTGTCTCAGGTGAAGGCTGAGTGTATTTTGTCACAGGCCAATGTCTGCAGTCCCTGAGCCCATTGGTGCAGGTGGCAATAGGAGAAGGTGTAGCCAGAGGGACTTCTGGGAAAGGGCAGACAAGGTTTGGTGAAGATGTCCTTGGTTTCTATGTGTGAATGTGCACCTCAAGCCCCTCAAGAATTATATAGACTGACTCCATTTACTGGTAGATGTAAAAAATAATTCAGTAAAAAATGTTGGATAAGAATATAGTGAAGGGCCTTCCTGGTGGCGCAAGGGATAAGATGCAACCTATGAAGCTATCCGCAGCCACTGCAGCACAAGTTCAAACCCTGACCAGGGAGCTACCCACATAGTGTGGCAGACCTCTCCTGACTCACCTACTGCTCCCCTTAGCAGTGTATTTCAGTCGATCTGCCTGTTTTGTTCCCCACTCTGTCTCTGGTGAGTGCTCTCAACCCCCACAACTCTTGCCTGTACCCTAGTTCTTGTATGTATAAATCTTTAAAAAAAAAATAGTGAAGCAGACAGAAAGATGTTGATGAAATGTGGGATGAAATAAGTGACCCCAAAGGAAAGTCAACTTACAGGATTCCAATGCTGTGGGTTCAGTTCTTAACTTTTTGGGAGGGTGTGACTTTCAACTAGGCTAATTAAAAAGTGGGAAAATCACAGAGAGTAAAGTAGATAAAAGTATCTCTTCGCAGAGGTCAGACATGAACAGAGAGAGGTTTATAAATCAGAACTGGCAGGGTCCTACATCTCTGATGTTTTCCACACTTGGGGGGGATGTTATGGAGGGAAGAAACTAGGCAAGGAAAGTGCATGATTATTATATGCACAAATGACTAGTTATTTGTTCTCAGAACCAGCAACACATATATTTCTTATACCCAATAACCAGCAATGAGCTTTGCTTTTTAAATACATACAAATGCCTATTTAGTAAAGATTAAATCAAAATTTTATATCACAATTTATGAGAGGTGAGAAAATACCTGGTTGGTGATATGTTCCTGGATTTTTTCTCTAGTCACTGAAAAAGAAAGCAAAAAAGAAATTGATCATTAAAATATGAAAATGATTAGAAGTATTGATATTGCTCTGTATTTTACTCACAGCTCCAAGAGCTGTTACGGGCCCTTTGAGCAAGAATTTGTATCACATTATGGAAATTTACAATCACTTTAATAATTGGAATGAAGAAGTCATGTCCTAAACAAAACATATTAGGCTAAGTTCACAGAAAATGGACTGGAAATCTAGGAAGAGTGATATCAAAGGACTGTTTTAAATGTTGGCAGAGAAATGGTGAAGAGATGAAAAGGATGGAAAAAATTTTTAATAACCATTCAAAGGTTTCCAGACAGTGACAATCTATTCAAATATGATACTAACACTGAGCTCATGGATGCTTGAGGACTAGACTAGGAGGTTTAAAAAGGTAGAAGGTAGAGTGTTACTTTTTGAAACTTTTCTCTCACTTGTGCACATGATAAAAACATTATAATTTGCTGTTATAGTAAGAGAAAACAAAGTACACATCAACAGTTCTATGAATGAATGGGATCAAGAGAGTAAAGAATCACATGAGATTCTGAAATGAGTCCTTCAGTATAAAATGAAAGGACACTAGAGAGTTACTTAAATCTACACAAAAATTAATAGTACTGGTAAAGATCTACATATTGATTAATATAAAATACAATTAAACCTATTTCTGATCGTAAAAAAAGAAAAATATCAGTAATGCATGTTGGTAACAGAGGGATATAAAGATTCTAAAATAACAAATTTAGTTGCGAAAATAACTTGTAAGTGCTCAAGGCAATGCATGTCTTAAGTAGAAGGGAAAAAAATTAGTAATAATAAATAGCCATCAAGTCACCAGGAAAGACAGGAAAGAGATGCTGTGGTTATTATGTGCTTATGAATATCTCGGTATTACATACATGCTGTTAAATATGTTCTTTTTTATTTTAATGTAGATAATTGTATATCGTCACACATCTACAAGAAATAAGACAGAAATCCCAAGTACCCTTTACACAGCTTTCCCCCGGTAACATCTGGAATATCTACAGAACAGTATCTAACAGAATACCCGACAACACACAGCACGTTTCCAGCACAAGCATCCTTCATGCTGCCTCAGCCTCTACCGTCCTGCCACTACCCTCTGCATCCCCAACAACCACTCCTCTGTTCCTGTTTCTATCATTTCATCATTTCCACAATGTTATGGAAATGAGATCATACATATCACAACCTTTCAGGACTGACTTTCCTCACTCAGCATTGTGATTGGAGAGTCCTAGGTTGTTGCTCGCATTCTTGGGTGTTCATTCCTCTTTATTATTCAGTGGTTTTCCATGGTATGGAAGCACAAAAGTTTGTTTAGTCATTCACCTGTTAAAGGACATCTGTGCAGTGTCTAGGTATGGCTATTATGAATAAAGCTGCTATTAACATTTGTGTACAGGTATTTATGTGACCATGTCTTTACTTCTGTGGTCTAAATGTCCTGGGGTGTAATTGATGGGTTTAAGGTAGTACATGTTGAGTTGTTTAAGAAACTGGTAAATTGTTTTCTGAAAAAGACATGTAAAACTAATTCAAACAATTGTCATGCTTCATTTTGGCTGTTCCTCAAGTAGCACACCCAAACCAACTAACTGCTGGGTCCTGTGCTAAGTCCTGCACATGCATGATATCCATGGAGGAATCTTGTAAAATAGAGATTATTATTATTATTACTAAAACTTCAAAACAGGCAAAAATAAACAGTATTGTTTACATGTATTCATAGGTGATTAAGGCAAGGCAATGGAATGATTATCACATAAAATATTCTTTGAGCTTATTCTGCTATTAATAATTTTCTATTTTTTCCATTGAATGCAATTTACTATGTTTGCTACCTCTCCTCTTCTAATGTTTGTAGAAAGCATATAAATGTATATCATTTTCTTTATTTCTTCTGAGTAGTCTTTGCTGCTTCTTACCAGTTTAGACACAGAGTGCATCTTTGTAAGTATTTCAAGATATCCATTATAATTTAATCTGACATATAAATTTAGAATTTTTAAATTTCCAATGAATAGAGTTTTGTTCTATAATTTTCTTGCTTAGCCTCTAATTTTGTTCCATTTTCATCAAAGAATATCAAATATATAACATTAATCCTTGGTATTTTCTATATTAAGACTTGAATTGTGGTCTAAGCTATAGATTGTTACTCCTGTTTCATTTTAGATTAGGAGACTAGGGATCAAATAAATTACAAATGTGTCCAAGTTTACATGGCTATAGGGGCACGATGGGCACAGAGCAGGATTTCTAGGATCCAAGCAGACCAGAATGGGTAAAGGAGGAGTCCTGGAGCCCTCAATGATATTCTCAGGCTTTTATTGAGGTTTTAAATGTAGTGTGGCAAACAGGTACATGGCAGGCTAGGGTGCCGGGAGGGCCAGGAGGCCGCCAGGCCTCTAAGCACCTGGCAAGTCTTCACTCTGGGCTTCTCCCTCTCTTCTGGCTTTCTCTCCCTCCTTCCCTCTCCTGCCTCTCTCCTGCTTCTGCTTTTTCTCTTAGCCACTATTTCAATTCTCCTCCCATGGCCCACAATGTAACAACTGCAGGTGCCCCATGAGGCAGGGCAATCCTAATGGTGGGAGGGCAGAAAAGCCTGAAAACCATTTACCCTACAATCCACTCCCTCAGGGTTTTCTGCCATACAATGTATATATAGGTATATACAAGTTTCCTTTAACAAACATAAACACAGGAGCCATGGCCCACAAAAGAAAATGCAACACAAATAATTCAGGCAGGCACCAACCTAGTGGCAAAAGATAATTTTTTTTTTTTTTTTTTTTTTTTTATAGAGGCATGTTTTCTTTCTTTCTTTCTTTCTTTGTTTTGTTTATACATGCACTGGGAACAGTCAGAAGCGCGGGAGGGTGAGAGAATTCACCATAGCCAGAGCGGGGAGCAGAGCAGGCAGAAGGACCGAAGCACACTGCTGAGGGGAGCAGCGGGCGGCAGGAGAGGTCTGCGCGCCATGCGGGACCCTCCTCTGGTGGCCGGGAAGCAGCCGGGGATCGAACCGGCGGCGCAGAGGCCGCGGGCAGCTTCGCAACCCAGCGCTCAACCACTGCGCCACCGGGGAGGCCCCAAAAGATAATTTTTTGCACCAGCAGATGATCCACTGTGTCTGCTGGCCAAGGCACTGCTCATACGAGGGAGGGGAACCACTTGGGCATCTGCCGTCACAAGCCAGAAGCTGTCAGGCTTCCTGGCCTTCTCTGGCTGTAGTCTCAGCCACAAGCCACATACCACATCCACCCCCAGGATGCACTCACTCCTGGATTGGGGAGTCTGTATTTTGGGGGTAATTGCCCAACCCTCAGGGTTTCTGTCTGTGGTCACTCCAACACTTTCATAGCTACCAATGCAACATGCAGACCCCTGCTCTCAGGCCAACCCATTGCACATGTACATGGGTCGGGGATCCCTGGATACAAGCTCCACATGTGGCCTCTATTGGGTCCCCTTTTTGGCTTGGGCTCCACCACAAGCCACACCCCCCATCCATCTCCCAAGGACTGGTTCCTCAACAACTCACCCTCACTCAACCGGGAGCAGGGCATCTCCCACAGGTGATTTTAAGAGACTCACTGGCCCTCTTTAGCATACTTAGGCTGCTTAACAGCTGCTCAGGGCTTCCCAATCTCAGCACCAGCTTTTGCCTTTCTAAGTTGGCTTATTTCCTCTGCCTAGCTGCTGGGTAGTACACAGGCTGCTTTTGGCAATCAACGCCCACTGGCCATCCCCAGATTCCCATCTCCTGGGGGGGGGGAGTGTAAAAACAATACCATCCTCCCCCAGGGTCCCCAAAACATTACCCTGCCAAAGTTCCTCCACCTTCTGGCAGGATTGTAAGTCCAAGTCCATCAGCCTTTTCCTGCATCGGCACTAGTGAGCTCCAATTCCTGGTTCTTTCTTCCCCAACAATTCTGCTGTCTCAGGGTAGTGGGCTGGTCCTTGCAGACCATCTCCTCCTCCAGGCAAGATCTGTCCTGCAGCTCCCAAGCCTTGTCCACCTCCTGTGCTACTGCAGCATCTCTAGCTCTTCCCACAGCTCCTGGACTCTGGTCAACACCTGTGCTGCCATGGCACATCCAGCATTGTCACAGGCTCACAGTCTGCTCTTCCTCAGTCCCTCCTGAGGTCTTTGGAGGGTTCCATACCCGTCTGCTTCGAATTATCTTGCTGACTTATGCCAATTATAGTGGCAGGATGGGCACAGTGCAGGTTTCTAGGATCTGAGCAGACTAGACCAGGTAAAGGAGGAGTCCTGGAGACCTCAGTGACATTCTCAGGTTTTATTGAGCTTTTAAATGTAGTGTGGCAAACAGGTACATGGCAGGCAGGGGTGCGGGGGGGCCAGGAGGCCACAAGGCCTCCAAGCCCCTGGCAAGTCTTCACTCTGAGCTTTTCTCTCTCTCTTCTGGCTTTCTTTCTTCCCTTCGCTCTCCTGCTTCTGTTTCTTTTAGCCACTATCTCAATACTCCTCCCATGGCCCACAGAAGTAAATAAGACAGTTTGCAACAATGTACCAACTGCAGGTACCCCATGAGGCAGAGCAATCCTAATGCTGGGAGGACAGAAAAGCCTAAAAAACCATTTACCCTACAATGGCCTACTAGTCAAAGGATACACCAAGTCTTCCAGTGCAATGCTACTACTCTTTTTTTTTTTAAATTTATTTATTTTTATACAAGAACTGGGGTACAGGCCAGAGGCACGGGAGGGTGAGAGGATTCACCGGAGACAGAGTGGGTAACAGAACAGGCAGATGGACCAAAATACACTGCTGAGGGGAGCAGTGGGTGTGGCAGGAGAGGTCTGCCACGCCATGTGGGAATCTCCCTGGCCAGCTGGGAATTGAACCCTCGCTGCAGAGGCTGCAGGCAACTTCACAGTGCAGCGCTCAACCCTCTGCGCCACTGGGGAGGCCCGCAATGCTGCTACTCT